ACCTTTTCTAAACAAGAAAAGTTTTACATCACAAAGGAAAACTTATTTTTAAGCAGCTAGAAAAATATAGAAGCTGAAAAAAAAAATTTTTTTTCTTTGAAATAAAATAGAAAACTACAATAATTTAACTGAGACACTATTTGACGTCAACGATGTGAAATATTTACTTTAAAAGTGGTCTTTAAAATGTATTAATTTTTCTGTTTTCATCTGATCTCCTCCTACTTAATTGGGCAACAAATCAGTTAATCTCCTCAACTTTTTCTTTAATTTTTTTTTTCTTTTTATATTTGTTTCTTAATGCCTAACACTTTTTAGGTAAGAAAATTTCAGCTGTTAAAAACAAAAAATTATTTGGAAGCACAATAAAGTTGAAAAAAAAAAAACAAAACTGTTACAATTAATCGACAGGTCACAAAGCTAAAATTCCATAACTTATAAGAATTTGAGAAAGCTTTTTTTATTGTTGATAGGATAGAAATACTGTTTAATGGATTATGCAAAAGTAAATAAGAACAATAAAACACTATTACTGAATGAAGCAGTGCCAGTCCAATCACTTTTGCGAGCTCCTATAAAGCATAAACCATCTTTTCATGCACTTGTTCCATAATTGCAATGCAAATTTAATACAAAGTTAAGTAAAAGCAATGCTTGGTTTGAATGTTAAGTGAAAAAAGCCCATATTGAGAAAAACAGAAAGCAAGCAATAGAAGCGAGAAAACACGAATATGAATGCAAAAAATTCACTGTTAAATAAGCCCAAGCTAGCGCAGTCAGACTCAACAACTCCTTTCTTACAGTTATCACAAGAATTTGTTTTAAAAGATTATTAAAGAGTAAAGTTAAGAAACAGATAAAAAATCAGTGATTTTGTATTTTTAACGTACTCTTCTATACGATTTAAACAACTTTTATCACAGTGAAATGATACACTCATTTACAGTCCAAGAAACGATCAACAGTTTTAATAAAAAAAAACCCAAAATGACTTACAGTATATGTAAAAGTCCTGTCTCGCAATGACCCATACTTTGTTGGCTGCTCAAGCAATTTTTTTTCAGAAACTGGTTCAAAGCATATTCCTATCATAAAAGGGTCAACCACTGAGAAAACTGCATTAAACAGAGCCAGAGAAAATCCATCAAAAAATGCTCGGCCAGAGAAAAGAGAATGAATTGCGAACCAAACTTCAGGCAAAAAGAAGCAAATATTTTTGTATAAAAAGAACTCTATGACCTAAAAAAAAATCATCATCAGTTATTTTACTACATTTGTGCAGAAAAAAGGAGATATTATCAAGAAGAGTAATTCAGACAAACCTTTGCACTGTGTTGAAAATTCCAAGCTCCATGGACAACCAACAATCTTTTTAGAAAACGAAACCGTGCTATGCAATCCCACTTCTCCGGGAATCCCGACCCCAACATCAGCTGCCTGCGCAAGGAACAGATTACAACACAAAGTTCACGCTTAAACATCACTTTTTCAAGCAATACCTGGATCATCGGCACATCGTTCGCTCCATCTCCAATAGCCAAAACAATATTTTCTCCATTGTTCTGAGCGATTCTAACAGTATCTGCTTTTTCTTTCGATGACATACGGTAACAGATGACAAAACAACACAGCATTGAGAATTTTAGTAGGTTTTCACAGTACGGGTTTTTCAGAAGAAACTACAAAGCCTGAAATGAGCAGAAAGTCATGAGGTACAAATCAGACCACATTGATAGGTATTATCTTACCTAAAGCTCACATGCATAATTTGAGAAAAAAAAGTGACTTCTTCGTTGCTCAACATAGGTAGACGCACAAGTCACAATAAAGAAAAGAAAAATTAGCATGTTTGCTCTTGCCTGACCACTTTGGGCGGAACGGAAACTGTGATTAATGTTGTATTTTTGTAGAACATTTTCGTTTGAAACGTCAAACATTAAATAACCAGGCAATCTCATATAAGATTCGTATTCGCTTTGAAGAAAAAAGCAGAAGGCCCTCAATTCGTAAAACTAATATATTATGAGATTATACTCACCCAAAACAAATTCTGAATCTCTCAAACAGAAATCAACTAACATCACTGCTTATGGCAAGAGGAGTCTTGTTATTTCCTTGTTGCAGCATTTTCGCTTTTTGTGGAAGCTCTTCTAAGAACTGACACAGTGTCTGCTCGTCCTCCATAGTTAAATGAATTAAATCACTTTGTTCTGGAGCAAACCCTCAAGAGTAGGCAACACTGAGCGCAGTCTCGAACCTGTCCCCTGTTAACATCCAAACGCGAATGCCTGCCATTACCAGAAAACTTATTGTTTCAAAAACGTCCTGAAAATCAGCAACATAGTAAAATTTCGGCACCCGAGTGTGAAACGACTTGGGACAAAAACTCAGAAGATTTGTTAGAGAAAATGTCACAGCAAAGAAGAAAAATAGAGCCTAAAAAGGCTTTGATACAATGATGTTCTATTGCATCACCAAAAAGCAGGAAATCACATTCTGCAGAAAGTAGAAACTAACTTCTTCCAATCTATCTTCTAAAGCTGCGGCTCCTAACAAAGACAGATCTTTCTCAATTGCCTCATAACTGTCACTAACAAGCTTGTCTCTCTCACTTCTGTCCGAGCATTTAAGTGCTTCTCGGTTACTTTTTGTCCAATTCTGGTAAAAATCTTTGCTAAGTTCTCGACACGCAAAAAACATTGTCCGAAATCCCTGGAAATTAAACTGGCGCTGAACTGTTGATGATTTGATTTATTGATTAATTTAAACTCCCAGGTAACGAAACTACATTTGAGGTACTAAGGGAAAGTTACAGTTAAAAGCCGACGATAAGTAGTTACTAAGAGCAACAACGGACACTTCAAGGTTACTTTTTTTGCGTAATTAGTCATGCAGTTACTGCATTCAGTTTGATATTTCGAGGCTTTGTGTAAGCGCTTGTAAATTACAGACTTCTGGAAAAGTCAGGTGATTTTTTCAATATTTAGTTTTCTCAGTTTTTAATGAAGAAAGCGAATAAAGCCAGAATGTTAACAGTACCGCTCCTTTAGTGTAAACTTTTATAGTGTTATCTGGACACCGAACAATAACGCTCATTCTTCGCCTATCGCTCGTAAAATCCAGTGTATCCAGGATCTCGTAAATTACTTGGTTTCCTTCCTGAAAAATGAAGAGCTTGATTTCAATTGCTGCATCATTTTTTTTTTACAATAAACAAGAATTTCAATTCCCATGCTTTCTTAGGTAAATAGACCTTCTAAGAAAGCTGTAGGATTTACATCGAAACAATGAATTTTTAAAACAGCATGAAAAACTCTCTTCAGAGATTACAGGACAGAAAATAACCAACGTTGGCGACTAAAAGTTTTATAGGTGTTCTTGTGAAACCGAAATTTATGCTGGAAAATTAGCATTTTCTCCAGCACCTTAAATTTTCTTCAGAACTGGAGCTGGAGTTCATCGCCTAAGCACTGCTAAAAAGCTGTAGCATGACAGGCTAAAAAGACTTCCAATTCCTCCAGAAAGTAGCCAGAAATGAGAAAAGTTGTCTCTCTAAAAGTTTATATAGAGCAACCTCTTGAACTGTGGCAGATTTAAAATCTGGCTTCTGAAGTTGAAACCCAGAATCGCTTGCGCTTTGTACCAACGCCACTTCTTCTGCAGAAATTCCACGATAAATAATCTGTTCCCTGTCTCTTTTTTCGCGAATAACGGTGTGGCAGAGAGTGATAAAGCGAGAAAACTCCTCGAGACACTCATTATTCACCTATCAGTTATCACGTAAGTAAGTCGCAGTTTTTGCGTAGAACGGTCGTAATATGTTTGACAATAAGATTTCGCATTGCAAAAGCTTGTCTAACTTAGAGTTCTTCTTTGAAAACGCAGACCAATAGGAAGTACACAAATCTTGCACAGAAAGCATGGTAATTAGCAATCTATTTGCCAGAGTAATATTAGGTCTTAATTTTATATTTTCTTTCTCTTAATTTTTTTTTAAATTTTATACTGTAATAATTGACTTGTTGAGGAGCATTTTAGGATAAATGTCAAGTTTTCAGAATCAACAGTTAGTAAATTACCTGCGTCTTTGAGAGTAGAGGCATGCACACATTTTTAATGAAGTCAGCTTTTCAGAACTGAATTATCTCAACAGTAATTAATAACGAGATGGGCACCAGCTTGTTGTATAAGATAAAAAAGGAATTGAATCTTGATCAAAGTGGTGGTGTTGACTCTAAAATAATCGTAAATAAACTAAACGTCACGATGTACAGTTGACAATGCTTTTTTAACTTCTTCGAAGCCATAACAGAAAATTTTGAAAGCAGAAGACGAAAAAAATTCAAAAAGTGGAAATTTCTGCATAAATAACGTTTTATGACTTAGATTTAAAAATGCGCAGAAGTCTCAAAGATTATTGGAATTGTAAAAAGCAATCGTTAAAAACAGTTAAAATTAGATAAAAAAACTTTTGAACAGCATTTATTCTTTTATACATAGCTAGTAATACTACGTAAAAAACTTAAAAGACTTTAGTTTACAAAAAGTTGACTAAATTTAAGCATATTACACTTTGGTTTCCCACCGGCTTCTAACAATTCAAAGTCCTCCTTCACTAATCGCATTCTGCTTAATTCTATCTTTCATAAGCTACAATCAAGTAAGGATGCAGTAGTATATGAACCAAAAACTATAAAAAGGCTCAAACTTTCACGGCAGTAATAGACAACAGATCACCACCATTTGTTTCAAACAGATTTTTATCATTAAAACTACCTAAAATGAAAATTCTCACGAAAAATTCAGTAAGAAATAAGGTAAGAAAGTAGAATGCGAATGCCTTCTTCTCTCCCAGTTGCAGCAAACCTGTCATCTGCAATTAATTTCTTTTTTGGCTAAACTGCTCTATCTATTCCTTTAAATTCTTACATCCTCACTACCGTATATTAAGAAATATATGCTAATTCACAAGGAATGTTGTTTTTTACTGGTTGGAACCACTTTTAACAAGCAGAAATTTTAGTCAATAGAGGTTTTGAAGACTTCTACTTGGTTTTAGCACTTCTGCTTTCGCAGTGCATACAGCGCAGCGCATTGAGAGAAGGCAAAAGACTTATTAAGCACTTCGCAATTGTCTGCTTAGCAACAGTGAAATATTTATAAACTACTAACCTGGAAGTGAGAGGTAGTACATGTTCCACGAAAACCAGGAGTCACAGACATATGATAAAAGTGTGCTAGCTACAGAGAGAAACACCAAAATACCAAAAAGAATCAACAGCCCTTTACTTGTCATTTTTTCCACCTTCGACCTTAAAACTACAGAAGTGAAAATAAACTCTATAGAACACAAACACTGCATTTATGCACTAAAACAAAATTACTTCAAATGAACTCTACCGTTTGTGCGGAGTAG